ACGCAACGCATCACGCGAGGTTCCTTTGGAAATTCCATCCTCTGTATTTCGTATGAATAAATATTATTTTTAAAAAGGGCATACTTTTGTGTCTGGGAAACCACCGCTGAAAGTCATATCGGCGAGTCGCGCGTCCTCGCATGTTTTGCGCGTCGTTGTCGTAGTCGTATGGGGCGATATAGTAAAACAAAAGCGGTTAAACATGCATATATGTATATATATATATATATGAGAGGTTTATCCTCTCACCAAAACAGAAAATAAGGACGTGTGAGTACGTGCGGGGAGGGGGGAGAGGGTATTAGCATCATTAGGAGGAGGGCATTTGGCGAGCGCGTGTCCCGCACGTGCGTTATTGAGCAGCCACGGTAATCCTGCAGTTTAGTCACCTCGGCCGTAGCCGCTGGAGCACCCGTAATACCCGATTATGATCGTCGCCCGTCCGCAGCGGTGGAGTATAATAGTATGTGTATACTTGCAGGGGACGCAGAAAAAAAAAAAGGAAAAACTGCAAACGCCGCATCGACGATCTTTAGTTTTGATTTCGGCCAGTAATCCGATTATCTTTTGGTGACATTTTGGCACCGTTCGACACACCCCTCCTCCCTATATTCAGTCTTCACACCCGATTATATTATATATGTATATATATACACTGCTATATCCCACCCCGCGACAGAGACACTGCCAGTACAGAGAGGGTTTAAAGAAAGGTGGTTCACCATCACCGCACCCTTGTCGCTTAACCGGTAATCGCGATTTAAGTCACGATCCGTGAGAATTTCGTTTCGCCCTACGCATGTGTGTACAATAATATTGTACCAACGGCCGGTACAGGCGCGTACCAAAATACAATAATATTATCACATTATAATGTTTATAACCACGTTTATGAATGCTCATAATATATCTGCGCGTTACAGTAATGAAAAATAACCACTGCAGACTACATGCAGTAGATACTTACCTATACGGGTATAAATGTGGTGCACAATATCGTACCAGATATCAGATATAATCAGCGAAGTTCTCTTAAACTTCATACCCGCATTTACTGTCTCCGTGATACAATCGCAAATCTCCGTTCTTAGGGGACAACTTAGTAGTGTTGTTAATTTTAATATTACGGAGTGAATTGACCTATTAAAAAACTTAAAGATAAGAATATGATTTGTGTCGTATCGCCGTTTATTTCCGTGATTTTTATTTTAAGCGAAATACAAGTATGTTGAAATGTCGGCATTTCACGTGCATGCTACGCACAGGAATGGCGTTCTCTTAAGAAAAGGCAACTACGGGGCGTTGGTCATACGTGGATGAGGCAGGAGGTTTATTAAGAATTGGTAGAAGTAACCTTGGAATGTATATAGTATTTCGAGAAGAAAGAGACCCTTTTGGGACGTTCTTAGATGAGACGGCGAGATCAGGTGAAACCGAGATCTGATTGACAGGCATGACGGACAGATCGAAGTAGCAAATTAAATTATGCTTGACGGTTACTATACAGAAGAAAAAGATGAATAAATGTGGTGGGTACAAACAAGACAATTATTTACGAAATATGTATTCAATGCGTTTCAGAATTTATTTGGATTCTGATTGTAACGAACGTGTACTTTTTTCTTGGAAGGTACTTTTTCGTTTGGTAAAAATTCTTCAGTTTATTCATGTCTACCGTACCTAGTTTAAAAAATGTGGATTTCACACGAAGTGGTATACTTTATTTCAAAACAATTTACCGAACTTTACTTAAAATACAAAAAAAAAAAAAAAAGGGTAAGTAATAAACTAATATATTATTCATCAAGTAATGATATAGTTTAACATTAGAAAGTTTATGTCATCAATATTTGGTGGCATTTTAAATGACTTCGTTATTTTTTGTAGCTAATTTTTTACAGGTTTTTTATAACAATTATTTTGAACGAATGTTTGGTATAACAATATAATAAGATAAACTATATATAAGTATTAAAGAAGAAAAAGGTCATGGGAGGTCGTTTAACTGCCCATGCTAGGTACTATCCATATTAATATGCATAATATGATTATTTGAATAAAACATAGTAAACAAGTCAAAGTATTTTCAACATTTGTTAGCAATGATCACGATGTACGTCATGTCATAATTTCCTGTACAATATAACGTATGCAAATTGATAATATAATAAATTATAATAATTTATTCGTTAAATAATATATTCATGAACATTATCAATAACGCCATCTGTTTATTTACTGGCGAACTAGTTTTCGGCTGCGGGGTTAAGTACAGACGAGTGACTACTTTTTTTTGTAGTGAGAACGGCATAGAGTTTTAACACATTATTGTCATTTTCTATTACGTCATATTATTTGTTACCCTTCCAACGTCATTCTGAAAATTCTGGATACGAAACCGCGCATAGTTATATCAAAACGACAAAGTACAATTACGGCCGTTTTGTTTCGTATATTATGCGTGTGTAATCCGAGTCATTTAGAAACATTGTGTTTATTGTACATAATATAGGAATATCTATGCCTGTCCACACCTATATAAATTATTTTTATTATTATATTTATTAAAAAAAAATATACAGTGTTATTCACTAAGCGTGCTCATCCCATTTTTCGATTGAATTCTGATTTTTGGAATTTTTAAATATAGTTAAAGCCGATATTTTCGCAAAATATTAGGAGTAACGATGTGAACCTTGGGTTTTTCAAATAAGAACCTATATTAAAAATTCTACAAAAAGACGATAAATTATTATAATAAATACATTTTGGTGGTACCATTTTTGATTTCCGTCAAACCGTTGACGGGATATTTCACTTTTAAGTTTAGGTAGGGGTAGAGTAGTTTTGGACATTTTGACAGAAATCATATTGGCCGATATAAGTATCGGCCTTTTCTAAACGTACTATAAAGAAGAAAAGGAGCGTAATTTAGTGGTTTTTTTTTTTTTTTTATTATCGTTTTAAAATCAAATTTCGATAAAAATCGTAAATATTACGGCATTTCAAAATATGTATAACTGAACATCGCTCAGAATCTTATTTCGTTAGCTATGGTCTATCGTTGCTTACAGATAAAAATTAAATGATTATGTGTATCCAACCTTAAAAACTTTCCACCTACAAGTTACAACAGTGACACAGTATCAGCTATTTTTAAAAATTTTTTTTTTTTTTTGTGTCAAACAATTTTATACAAATTTATATTAAATTTAAAATTGAAAAGTTGAATCTGGTTAACACGCTCCTCTGGATGCAAACCAACGATATTAAATAGTTGAGTTATGATTATACACTCGTGTAAAATAATTTAAGTTTACGAATTTCTTCGGTGTCCTACGTTATTAAATCTTAAAATATAACAGTGTAGCTAAGTTTATATAGTAATATTATTTGTTTTGATATTCTACTTTTGAAACAATTTCTGTAAAATTCAATGATTTTTGGAATCTGAATTTATCATTTTTTTGAGACATTTTTGTTACAATAATAATACAATATTATTGGTTTTTACCACAACGTTCATATATTATGCTATGACCTTGTTAGTTGTAATTTGGTATGCAACGGTTGTGTAATAATATTAGCCGATGAATATTATTATATTTATAACGTTTATAATAAGACCTCGATTGGTATTATTGGTACCCGGAGGAACGCGGGATATAAACGGGTCAGTGGCCGCACGACAAAAACACCGGGCACACCTGTTAAAAAGTGAAAAACTACAATCTTTTTGTCTACGGCGTATTCAGATTTTTTTTCTATTTTTATACAAATTACACAATGGGCTTGTTAAAAAAACGTAGTGGTAGATACTTATAATGCATAAAATATCATATAGCTCGTATATAATATTATGCCTATATTCTTTTTTTGGTAATAATAGATGTTGAAATGATTTTTTACAGACTTTAAATTTAATATTGCAGATGAAACAGTTTACTGTAGAAAGTAAAATCCGGGTTTTTTTTTTTATTATTGTTAAAATATTACCAGGTGATACACAGTGTGCATAAATGTAAAGCGCCGAATAAATGCAAAATTGACGGTTCAAATTACTTGAATTATCCATTAACTCTTTCGATTCATTTCGGGTAGGGGGAATTATAATTACAATTATAAACTTGGCCACGTTACTGGCTACATTATTTTAAATAAAAATAGTTCGCCAAGTAATATACAAACACAATAATTTATTTGATCATTGATCATCGGTGTCGATCCATTGTATGCTTCATTTTAATTTGTATTAATAATTATTGTTCACATTTTACCTCTGTAAATAGATTATAAGACTAAGTTTTTTACACACACGTCCATTTTACAGGGCATAAAAAGCAGTGGTGGTCAAATGATTTTTTCATGGAGGGAAGGGGGATAAGGAAACATTTTATGAACTATTATTTTTCAAATGGTTTTTTTTATAACTATAATGATATAATAAATATAATAATAAATATTTAAAACAAATTTGACAATGGGGAGAAATATCCCGATCCCGTTTTACCGCCCCTGGTCTGAAGTACGTGTTCAATGTCACTGTATAAAATGTATACTTAAAAATCAGTATAAAAGGTAAAAATCCATGGGTTTTACATGGTTTTTTATTTGTTAAAATAAACAAATTCCAAAGTAATAAATTGGACGATATTGACGCTGAGTGCAAATCATTGTATGTTTAAAACTACTAATAAGTATATAAAAACATTAAAAACGATTTTTAACGTTTTTATACGAAACAAAAAAAAAAATGTATACATGATACATATTATAGGTATATATGCTAAATTTAATGATATTTCATATGGAGCGGATCGTATACTATTACAGAAAATATCACGTAAGCAATAGTATATATATTTAGTATATATACTATTCCGTTTAAGGTTCATATATTGATAGTGTTTAAAGTAAAAAAATTAAAATCGCAACGCACCTTATCTTTTATTTATCAGTTTTCAAAAAAGTATAAATAAAATGATTTAACACAGTACACGTTTTACCTCCGAGCAGATCGTAATACTTCACAATTTCTTCATAAAAACTAAAATTAAAATAATGCAACTACCTATTACTGTTTTTATTTGTATAGCACATACGCTCTCCACTATAAACCTGCAAGTAAGTCTGTTTATTTAATACATTTCTTTTATTTTGTTGTATAAAGTTTATGGTGTCTTTGAGTACTAAAATAGGATACCTATAGACTATTTATTTGTTTTTTCATCCACGTGACCAAGAGATAGATAACTCTTGGATAAACAAAACGGATTCGATTTTCAAATTATAAATCCAAAATTCAAGACTTTTCATCCAATCTCATGAGTTACGGGATAAAAAGTAGTCTAAATATATGTTCGAAAATGTAAACCTAAACTAATCATTGCTTGTGAAAGTTTCGTTGAAATTGATTTAGGTTGAACAGAAGAAACACGCATGCAGACAGATAATTTAATTTTATTTAGATAATTAGATAAATTTATGTTGACTAAATAGGTATTGAAAATAAGATAAAATTTAACTGATTCCATATTTTAACATGGCATAAACAGTGCATATAATATCGAGAAACCAATCTGATATTAGAAAGCTAAGACAATCAATTTTTTTTTTTACACGATATAATTTTCGTTTACAAATTTCAAATAAGTATTTTCGTCTCGATTAGCGCAGTATTATAGTGGCACTAAAGTCATAACTTACTAATATTCTGCTGCAACCGGGATGTTTTTAAAATTATTAAAATAAATTCATCGAGTAAATAATCTTAAATTAATATATTGTTATAAAATATATATATTATTATTTCTTTTTAATTGATTTCAAATCTTGTCGTACACAATTTTTTTTTATTATGAAAATCTACCTAATTAAATTTTATTAATACACATTTCTTTTAGAATGCAGGCGTATCAGGCCACGTATGGGGTAAACTATTCAAATTTAAATGTTTGTTTTGTGAACCTAATCAGACCCGAAATAGATCGCACACAGTAAGTAATCAATGTTATCAATAATATTAAAATACTTTATATGTTTGAATAATATTATAGTACTTCAATCAAATTGATTTAATTTTTTTTTTCCATAAAGGTATACTGTAGTAGAGAATACACAATGATAAAATATGATTAGATGACTACAGAAATGATACGAAAACCATTATTATTTTTTTATGGAATTGAGACTTTATTATAATATAGTGTAGCAACACGAATTTATTTTATTATACTATTCACGGATTTGTATAAAGGTGTTATTCCAATTTTATACACAAGGGAGAGAGCTATTGTTTGTGTTTTTTTAGCATACCTACTCAATTGTTTATGAAAAGTTAGATTAGAGTTTTTTAAATAATATGTAAACATTTTGTGGGGGAAAATTATACGGTCAATTTGGATGATTTTTGAAAAATCTTAGCTTGCCTCCCCCGTATGTTATGCCTACGTATCCAATGTCTATATCATTCATTCTTGAATTATAATTTTTTTTTTTCAAAATTATTTATATTATTATACAAATTTTACAATCATCTTCTCAAACAATCGACTGATATACATTTATTAATAATTATTAATGATATTTAGAATAAGTTCACAAATTAATTATTTAATTTATTGTAGGTAATATAATTGTTAATTATGACGTTTCAAATATAGTGCAAATTTAAAGATAAACCTACTTAATCATAAAAATACTACAACGATTTAAACATGCATTGGTGAATAATTGTTATTCGTCTTATATTTTTAGCATACAACTGCAATATCACTTGCGACAAGTACAACTGTTCGCACCACGACAGAATTCATAACGCCATCCAGTACAATTTTTCCAAATAATGTATGTAGATACATATTATAATGTATTACATTTAAGTATTACAATCTTGAAAAGTTAATCTATTTTAAATTAACAATATAGTAGTATAGTTAGTTTGTGTTTAGACTGTTCCGATTATTGTAAGTATCCAGGTGGGTGACTAATTGTCATTTAAATAAGGGTTAAGAAAAAAAAACCACTGTTATTTTATTAACGAGTTTATTTTGTTTAAATCATTTTTTAAACAGGATTTTATTAAACACAATTTATTTGAATAAATAAAAACCCGAAGTTTGTACTTAACATTTTATATTTTGAGTAGTGGAGAGAGAAATGTATTGGTTAATCGAACTCTACTCAGAATCGTTTTTCGTTAGCAATGGTTAATCGTTGCGTATAGATATATTTTCAATTCTCCCTCTACCTTTCTAACCTCTCTATTACAACAGTGGCACACCCATATGCGTATTACCGTCTTTTTCTATCTCACATTATAAAACGTATATATTTTAAGGTACATAAATATTTTTCTTTATCTTAGAACTTGCAATATAATCTGTAAAATTACAGTAAAATAAAAATGCTTGTATTAATACTATTAATGTATTAGGTATCAATGATTTGTAAGCAATATAATTTCAAATAAAAATCGTACATTGAGTAATTTGTTCGTTCAAAACGTTCACGTTTAATTGTTTAAGCTGTTTCAATCATAATATGTTTAAAACACTGATAATTAGGTATTATTTATAGTATGGTGGTATAAATAAACAGATTTTAGAATATCTAATGAAATAATTAAAATTAATTTAATTTGTATGTGTTATACAGGGTACGGATATACCGGAAATACTTCCCAAATCAGAAGATGTTATATCATTCTTTAGTTCTGAGATAACGTTGAAGAATATATCGTTTGAAGGAAAAAGATCTGCATTTTCTCTTCTATGTACATCAGGCTTAATAACAAACAATCAAATACCTCCGGTTGTAATTGTTAACATAATCAAAATGATGGCTTCGTCAAATAACGTCTTAGGTATTTTTTATGATGAGATGATGTTCAATGCTGTGTTGAAAATGATAACAAATCATCCTTGTGTATTGAACAGTGTATCGACTAAAGTTCGCATTCGGTTTTTATATGGATTGTTGTCATTGTCACCCGGTATTTTGAGTGGTATTCCTAAACCAGCTTTTATTTCCATCCTAGGGATGATTTCCTCTCCTAATGTTTTAACCGCTTTACCTCTTTCGTCGACCATGAATTTAATTACTGCGCTTTCATTGTCTAAACCTGTATTTAACTGCTTACCAGATGAAACATTCTTAGCACTGTTAAAATTTTTTGTCGCAAAATCTCCAAAACTAATATGTCAATCGTTACCACCATCAACTATTTTCAGTTTTTATGAAGGAATATTCGATAGAATAAACAATGAACTCTTTGTTTATGGAAGTGCGATACTGCCAAAATCACTTATCATAGAGATTATCTCTCCTATAATGACGTCACGTATGTTGAGTGTATTTCCAATTCATATGTATGACAAATTGTTGAAAACTATTGAATCATGTCCAAAAGAATTTCCTACGTCTAATATGATTTGTCTGTTCACTGTGTTAACTAAATCTCCAATAATCTTTAACTCATTAAATCCTTATTATCTTACACAAATAGCATTGGCAGTATCACATAGTATGCCTAAGGTCTTAACCGAAGAACTGGAAATTTCAATGGCTTATTATTTGCCATCTGCGCAAAATTTTTTTTACGGTAAAAAATATCCTTATGTTTAAAATAATGGAACGACGGAATAATATTGTTGTGCTCTCTCTTTTGTAGAATTGTTTATTTGTTTGTCATGCACACAATTAATCGATCTATATAAAAATATTACCTATTTATTTTTTGAATGATACTTGTATTGAGATTGATCACCGAATAATTTTACGAATCCTTTTCTTTTTTATTTCATTAAAAAAAAAAATATATATATATACATATATATACTTATTTTTTTGTGCCGTTTAATTGTTTTATTTTTATGAATCTACCAGTCACTAAAACTCCTAATAAATATTTTCAATTTGACTTTATGTAAGAACATGGTGTACCTATATAATATTATGTATACTCATATCTTTAATTGTCAACATTATAGATTAATAATTTATATGATTATATGAGTACATACGTTTGTCACAGAAGTATATAAAATATATACATACCTATATATGTATATTATATATATTATTCTGTTACAGTTAAAACCCGAAATCCGTCAAAACTAATTTTAACTAGTGAAAACTGGTTTCCATAAATCTCTTTAGTCAATTCTAGTTTTGACTAGTTAAAACTAGAATTAACTAAGACCTTCACCGGTAAAACTAGATTTAACTTATTTCTGTTTAGTTAGAACCAGCTGTGTCTGAAATATATTAGTGAAAACTAGAATTGTCTTGCGAAAATCCGTAATTTTTATTTTGATCGTTTAAACCAGTTGCGCGAGACAAACACACACGTAGGTACAACGAATACAACGAAAAAAAAAAACGAACCGGCAAAACTGAAAACACGGGGACGAAAGCTACAGTGGCCGAATTATTATCTATTAGGTATAATCGGTCGAAGTTATCATATCTAAAAGTTATTTGATGGACGACTGGTTAATGTTTTCTTAATTAAATTGATAGCTGGCCAATCGCATTTATGGAACAATGTTTATAGATTGCGTACATTTTAGGTAGTGGAGGTTGGAATACATGCGTTTCAGTAAAAAACTTGTTTTGACCGACTTATTTAAATCTGTATTCAATTCTAGTTTTAACTAATCAAACCTAGAAATTACTAAAGGGATTTGTGGAAACTAGTTTCTACTGGTTAAAACTAGTTTTGACGGATTTCGGGTTTTGACTTTAACAGTAATATCAGGATAAAACAATGCACAAACGTGTTGTGGTTTTGTGTCTAAACGATTCGCAATTTGGGTTAAAATGCCCAAACGCTTTGTAACCAAAAAAAAACCGTATTACACGAATAGTATAAACTGTTCAGTACTGTCAGGTTGTATGTTAGGCTCCTTAAAGTTCAGCCAGATACTTATCATTTATAATGAAAAATTTAATAGTTATGATTACAAACTGATAACAAAGATGTACTGTAGTATATAATTGTAATAAAAATCAATTTTACATAATAATAAGAATGAATACTACGTAATGCAATTTTTTTTTTTTGTTATTTATCATATAAGTATGCCTATCTGCACATTTTAGATTTTGAGTGTAGCAAAGAATGTATCTGTTTTACAAATATGTTTATTTTTTTTTTTATGTGAACACTTTTTCTACCAGAAAACTTACTTCGATGTATGTCATGTAGAACTTTATCTGAAAGGAAATTTTCTTCGAGTGATATTTTAGGGAGACCATTTTTTGATTTGCTCAGTTTTTTCTTAATAAATGTGAAAACCGAACAAAAAACAGAAGAAAAACGGGAAAATGTACAAAATGTATAGATATTATTTAAAAAATATTTCAGCTTTTGTTTTTCCTGTGAACAACATTTCTACCAGCAATTTTGCTATCATATGCACATTTTCTGAAAGGAAATCTGATTGGAATGGTACTTAAAAAGGTCGTTTTTGATTTTCCTAACTTTTTAAGAGTTATTTCAGCAAATGTAAAAACCCAGGAAAAACATAGAAAAACCGAAAACAATGTAGGAAAAATGGGAAATTCGATATAATATTAAACAAGTATTATTAATGAAAATATATAATGCATATTTAATAATTTTACCATAATATGTTGACAAACATCACTATCAATTAAACTCCACTCAGAATCGTTTTTGGTAAGTATTGGTTTATCGTTGCTTGTAGATAAAAATTAGTTTACCCACTATATCCTACCTTTTCAACTTCTTACGAACACCAGTGGCTGCACCGTCGTGCGAAATATGTCGGTGTTTTTTTGTTGATATATTTACAATTCAGTTATCGCTCAACGTATCGAGAATTCACTATAAATGATTTCTGCAAGAGGAATTAAAACTTAAAAGTAACTCGTGGAGATTACTAAAACTGTGAAACGGACTAATGTTATTGTCAGCGCTACAATGCGACAATAATATTGTGATTATACAATAATACTAAATCTATAATACTCGTGCAATAACCAATAGTTGCATAATATTTAGATAATATTTAAATAATAATAATAATAATAATAATAATTTAGATATTATTTTAGATATTGCAGGTGGTAGGGACATTATTGTGCTAAAAAAAACCCGGTATGCATTTTAGTATTAGTACTTTTTTATACATTTTTACTTAGAACGCAACTTGTACGCTGTGGCAGTGGTAATTAGGTATCCTATTGAGTTTTTATTCGAATAATTAAAAAATACCGTACTATATTATTTTTAAGTGTCGGACCCGGTAAAATTATGACATGCTAATATGGATATTTTATTAATTTGTTTTTCTTTTAAACCCATAAAAACCAAAATAAACATAGATAAATGTACAGTAAATGCAGTCTATACAGTAAATTATAAAAACTAGTTTAATAATATTGTACACAATTCAACGGAATATAAATAAATTCATTTTTTATCAATAATAAAACTTTCGCTCAATACAGTTTTGGTAGGTACCTGTTAAAATTAATTAGGAACCCGGGTTTTTGGTGTGTTTTACAGAACCAACTACCTACCTAATATTGAATAACATTAAATTGTTAAAATGTTGAACACCATCCGTTTACCCAGTGTCATAATGAAAAACAAGTTAGAAATATAATGAATGTCCCTATCCAAATTTTATATTAATTTTTTGCGAACGATTTTCAGGGTAGCAAAAAAATAAATATTTATTAATCATTAAAAATCTGTTGGCCTTTTTTTTATTATAAGGTCATTAAATTATATATTTTAAGGCATTTTTCTTGTTTTTTTTTTTAGAGCATTTAAATCCCCTTTTATTCTACAATACCACCATCACGGGCAACAGCGAAGACTGTCTTCTTCATAAGATCGAGGTGATGGACAAATCGGGTACCTTTTAATAATATTTAATGAGACAATTATGGCTGTTTTAAAACTAATGACGTATTATCAATCTCATTTATTTAAATTAAACACTGCAGAGGAATCACTGAAGTACAGATTTTCAGTGAATCACCTGTGTTAGTAAATCCGGTCTCTGAAGATAACAAATCTTTTAGAGATTTGTTTTCCAAAAAGAAATTTTGAGAATTCCTCGAACACATTTCTTATTCATGATTACAACTGCATTATAAAATTTATGAAGTCAGCCGAGATCCGCAATTTAAAAAGGGATTAGATGACGATATCAAGAATAATATTCTAATAAGTAATATTCCATGGACTTGCAAACACAGTGGCGTGTTCAACATTTGAATATGGGCCGGAATCTGAATATAGCTACAAAGTACATAATTTCAGATACATAACTTGGTACCTATTTCGAAGATCGATGCCACTGTATGAAATATATTCTTAGGGATTAGTATAGAAGGTATAAAATCCATGGGGTCCACATGGTTTTTATATGTTATAAAGAGCATCTTTTAATCTAAAAACTTGAATAATACGTGCTGAGAATTGTATGTTTAAAGCTGCCAATAAAAGCATATAAAACCGATTTTTTACGTTTCTATACGAAACAAAAATGTATGTAAATCTATGAAATTATGTATATGCAATATGTCATGTTATTTCGTATGGAGCGGTTCGTATACTATTGCAGAAAATATCACGTAGGTAATATTATATATATATAATTATTTAGTATGGGTATATTATATGCTATTCCATTTTAAGTTCATATATTGATAGTGTTTAAAGTAAAAAAATAAAAACCGAAACGCACCTTATCTTTTATTTATCAGTTTTCAAAAGAGTATAAATAAAATGATTTAACACAGTATACGTTTTACCTCCGCCGATTAGACCGTAATACTACACAATTTGTTCATAAAAACTAAATTAAAATAATGCACCTGCATACTACTATTTTTATTTGTGTAGCATATACGCTCCCCATTATAAACCTGCAAGTAAGTCTGATCAAATTTGCATTTTTAGTATAAAAACAAAAACAAAATTTTACATAAAAATTTTGTCTTATTATATTTTATCTTAAGTATTTAATTTTTATTAGTAGTTATTTTGATAGTTATTTGTATTTATTATTTTTTTAATGTTACATATTAATCTGCAATATAAGCTTTACAGTGTGATACAATCGGTTTTTTTAATTTTTCAAATTGTACGTTTTTTGCTTTAGGTTTTTTATTAATTTAAAATGTTTTTAAAAAATATTTAAAATGTTCTGAAATATGCATAATATATTTTCAAAATCCTATAATATGTATTTAAAATACAAAACTATAAAATATGCAAAATAAAAATAGTATTATTTTATTTAGTAGAACATGAATAAAATTTGTGTCCAGGTCCACAAATTAGATGAACAGAAAAAAATGTAATTTCATAAACATCCTAGCTCTAGTTAAAACTTATTATTATTGTGTTGCAAACGGGATTGATTATACTTTTTTCAATTTATAAAATAAATTTATCGTGTAAATAATCTTAAATTATTATATTGTTATAAAATATGTCTATTATTATTTCTTTTAGTTGGTTTCAAATCTTGTCGTACACAATTATTTTTTATTATGAAAATCTACCTAATTAAATATTATTAATACATATTTCTTTTAGAATGCAGGCGTATCAGGACATTTATTGAGTAAATTCTTCAAATTTAAATGTTTGTTTTGTGAACCTTATCAGACTCGGAATAGATCGAGCACAGTAAGTAATCAATGTTATCAATGATATTTAAATACTTTATATGTTTGAATAATATTATAGTACTCCAATCAAATTGATTTAATTTTTTTTTCCATAAAGGTATACTATAGTAGAGAATACACAATGATAAAATATGATTAGATGACTACAGAAATGATAAGAATAACATTATTATTTTTTTATGGAATTGAGACTTTATTATAATATAGTGTAGCAACACGAATTTATTTTATTATACTATTCACGGATTTGTATACATTCATAAAGGTGTTATTCCAATTTTATACACAAGGGAGAGAGTTATTGTATGTGTTTTTTTAGCATACCTACTCAATTGTTTATGAAAAGTTAGATTAGAGTTTTTTAAATAATATGTAAACATTTTGTGGGGGAAAATTATACGGTCAATTTGGATGATTTTTGAAAAATCTTAGCTTGCCTCCCCCGTATGTTATGCCTACGTATCCAATGTCTATATCATTCATTTTGAATTATAATTTTTTTTTTCAAAATTATTTATATTATTATATAAATTTTACAATCATCTTCTCAAATAATCGACTGATATACATTTATAAATAATTATTAATGATATTTAGAATAAGTTCACAAATTAATTATTTAACTTATTGTAGGTACTACAATTATTAATTATGACGTTTCAAATGTAGTACAAATTTGAAGATTAACTTACTTAATCATAAAAATATTACAACGTTTTAAATATGCGTTGGTAAATAATTGCTGTTCGTTTCATATTTTTAGCATACAACTACTATACCGCCTCCGATAAGTACAACTATTCGTACCACGACAGAATTCATAACGCCATCCAGTACAATTCTTCCAAATAATGTATGTAGCTATATTTTATAGTATATTATATTTGTTTAATATTTGACTCGGGAGAGAGGGCTTTGTTTTTTTTTTTTTTAGCATACTCAATTGTTTATGAAAAGCATGATTAAATTTTTTTATATAATATGTAAATATTTTGTGGGTGGAAGTTATTTGGCGGATTTGTGTATGTTCGTGGAATCTCAGCTTTCACATTCGAACATTATGCCTATGTATCTAATATCCATATTTTTCATTCTTGAATTATATGTATATTTTTTTTTAATTTTTTCTAATATTAAATAGATTTCACTAACTATATTAACGTTTAACAATCGATTCGCCTAGTTTCTACAATCATTTTCTTAAATAATTGACTGATAAAAAATTATTATTAATGATATTTAATATTAAGTGCACAAATTAATAATATAACTAATTGTAGGTTATTATACAATTTATAACGAGGTTTCAAATATATAAGGTGTGACAGAAACATAACGAGACTTTCTAAATATGAGCTAAAGTATTAACGTTATCAATAAATCAACTATTGAAATATTATTATGAAACATTTATCTAAGAGTACTATTAGTATTAATGAAATCGATTTATTTATTTTTTAATTTATTAGCCTTGTTATTAGTGTGTTGTCTATTTTGTCGTATTTATGTTAGATCTAAAAATTTAAAAACGTGTTAACATTAGATTTCTTGTTAAATTGAAAAAAACTGCTGTGGAATCGTGTCGAATGTTATGTGAAGTTTATGGTGAGAATAATTCTAATAAGCTAGGGTTTTTGAATGGCACAAAAAGTGGTTTAGTTGAAGTAAGAACGTCGAAGACGACGATTGTTCTGGGTGTATACACGTATTCAACGAACGAAAATGTTGACAAAATCAACAATATTATTCGACAAGATCGTCAACTAGAGATGGTAATATTGATAGAGCAAGTGTTCATAAAAATTTAAATATGAAAAAATGTGTGCTTAAATGGGCCCTAAATATTTATCGTTGAAATACGCTTTTTGACAGAAAGAATTATTTTTGAACTTCAACATCCTTTATTTTCTAGACCTTGTTTTTTGAGGCTACTTTATATTTTCAAAAATTGAAAGTTCATTATAAGGAAGCTATTTTAAACGGTTAATGATGTCAAAATGAGAACGACTGAACTTTTAAATGGACTTACTGAAAGTGATCGGCAGCACTACTTTCATCGCAACGATGTATGGAACAGTGTGTAGTTGCCAAAGGAAACTACTTTGAAGGTGATAATCATTAAATTGTAAACATTTAAAATTAAACTACTTTTATTTAAAAAATCTCGCTAATTTTCTATCACACCTCGTAGTGCAAATTTGAAGATTAAACTATCTAATCATACAACAATTATTTAAATATGCATTGGTAAACAATTGCAAAAAGTACAACTATTAGAACCATGACAGAATTCACAACTCCATCTAGTACAATTATTCTTAATACTGTTTATAGATACATATTATGGTATAATATTATTACATTTAAGACATTTAAGTGTTATAAATCTTGAGGAGCTAAGTATAATAAATTACCATTATAGAATAGGTAGCAAGTATGTAGATCTAATCAATGGTGTTTCCATTAATTTTTTTGAGAGTATTCTGTAGCACCTAATTTTATAAATTTTTCTTTTGAATTATATTGTATACGGGAAAATGGATACCAACTCTACAATAAACTAAATTCAAATTACTAAAACAAAACACTCGACATTTTTAAAAACAAAATACTATTATGTGTATTGTAAGAAAATTGTGAAATTTTCAGTTCTTCGTCATAATTGCTGAAATAAACACAATTTGTATTACTATTTTAATTTTAGTGACAAAAGTGGTATAAACGGCTCGTGATAATAATACAATAATAATACAATGTTGAGAGTATACGGCGTGTATGTCAGTATACCCCATGGCCCTATGAAAATACCGCTAGATGTAATGTTTGGATAGTGCAATATCCTGATTATTGTAAGTATCCGGGCATATGACCAATGACCATCCAAACAAGCGTTTCAAAAAAAAAAAAAAGACATTTTTTTAATGAATTTTTATTTTGTTAAAAACTTTTATAACAGAATTTTATTAAACACGATTTATCTACATAAATAAAATACCTGAAGTATGTATCTATCATTTTTCCATCTTACATTATAAAACATACCTATTTTAATTGATATAAATATAATATTTTTCTTTAATTTAGAACTTATAATATAATCTGTAAAATGTCAATAAACAAAAATGCTTGTATTAATAGTATAAAGTATATACAGTGGCGTATAAAAGGAGTTTGAGGGGTTCCCCCCCCCCCCCTCCCTGAATTTTTTTAATATATATATTAACTGAAACCCAAAAGATCTTTTTATACTCCCTCCTCCCCAAATTAATTTCTTTATTCACCTCTGAATATATAGTTATATTATCTATGATTTGTGAGTATAATAATTTCAAATAACTAACAGACCTCGAGTAATTTGTTAATTCAAAATTTCAAATCGTTCATGTATAAATGTTTAAGCTGCGATTCCTAGTACCAATGTTTAAAAGAGATCATCACCAGTCTGATCTCAAATAATTGGGTATTATTTATAGTAAGGTGATATAAATAAATAGATTTTAAAATATCTAATGAAATAATTAAAATTAATATAATTTGTATGTGTTTTACAGGGTACGTATACACCGGAAACACTTTCCAAATCTGAAGATGTTATATCATTCTTTAGTTCCGAGATAACGTTGAAGAATATATCGTTTGAAGCAAAAAGATCTGCATTTTCTCTTTTATGTACATCAGGCTTAATAACAAACAATCAAATACCTCCCGTTGTAATTGTTAACATAATCAAAATGATTGCTTCTTCAAATGATGTCCATGAAATAATTTTGTACGATCAGATGAAGTTCAACTCCGTATTGAAGATGATAACAAATTATCCATGTGCATTAAACAGTGTATCGACTAAAGTTCGCATTCAGTTTTTAGATGGATTATTGTCATCGTCACCCGGTATTTTGATTGGTATTCCTAAGCCAGTTTTCATTTCCATACTTGGGATGATTTCATCTTTTGATGTTTTAACCGCTTTACCTCTTTCGTCGACCATGAATTTAATTACAGCGCTTTCATTGTCTAAACCTGTATTTAACTGCTTACCAGATGAAACATTCTTAGCACTGTTAAAATTTATTGTCGCGAATTCCCGAGAACAAATATTGATATTGATACCGCCATCAACTCTTTTCGGTTTTTATGAAGGAATATTCGACAGAATAAACAATGAGCCCTTTGTTTATGGAAGTGCGATACTGCCAAAATCACTTATCATAGAGATTATCTCTCCTATAATGACATCACGTATGTTGAGTGTATTTCCAATTCATATGTATGACAAATTGTTGAAAATTATTGGACCATGTACAAAAGAATTTCCTACGTCTAATATGATTTCTCTGTTTACTGTTTTAGCTAAATCTCCAATAATCTTAAATTCATTAAATCCTTATTATCTTTCACAAATAGTAGTGGCAGTATTACATAGTATGCCTACGGGCTTAACCGAAGAACTGGAACTTTCAATAGCTTATTATTTGCCATCTGTTGAAAACTTTGTTTAGCTAAATTCTCATAAAATTATTTTTAATATAATAGAAGAACGGAATAATATTGTTCTCTTCTCTCTTTTTTATAATCTTTTATTTCTTTGTCGTGCACACGAGTAATCTGTCTACTTACATTATTAAAAAAATTAAATAAATACTTATTATTCTGTATCGTTTGTTTTATTTTTATGAATCCACCAATCACCAAAAATTCTAATAATTGTCTTTAGTTTAATAACTTGTAAATCACCTATTAATATTTATCTAATTATTATAACCCATAAATTTAATATTTTATTAATACAGGTACACAGTTAAGTATATTCAACAAATAATATGTAGGTTTAAGTAGGTATAATAAAATAATTTTTAGTTACATTTATTTCACTTATATACTTAGATATTTATTTAATTCTTATCAGATTTAAAAAAACCAACATATTACACGAATAGTATAAAAAATTCAGTACTGTTAAATACTATGTTATGAACCTAACAGTTCAGAAACTTATAACTAGGGCCCGAATTTTAATGCAAAATACATATTTTTTTGATTGATGTTACACAATGCTTTCAAAGTACATAATTTGATTAATAAACACTTCAAAGATTAACCGTTGATTAAATATAATTGGTATGATACGACTTAATAAATTGAATTTAGCTAATTCAAAATATTACCTATGTTCTTCGGATTTTCCATTCAATCAGTTCTAATACTGCTTCTCAGTCAATATTATCGTCGATAGTCATAGTTAAATTTTTCAATTTTCTGGTTTTTAAAAAAAAGTAAAAACATAATAAATTACTCAATAAAGCAAACAATTTTAAAATGTATGTGTCATTTTAGATTTTGAGTGGAGCGAAGAATTGGTTTTACAAAGATGTTTCATTTTTTTCTTTTTTTTTATATGTAAACACTTTTTCTAGCAGAAAACTTACTCCAATGTATACATTGTCGACTTTTTTCTGAAAGGTCCTTGAGGTAGTACTATAAAGGGGTCATTCTTTGATTTTCCCAAGATTTTTCCCAGCAAATGTGTAAAACAGGGAAAAAACATGGGAAAACCGGGAAAACGTAGGAAAAACGGGAAAATCAAATAAATATTAAAAAAATATTGTTAAAGAAAATATATAATGTCTATTTAATTATAATACCATAATATGATGTATATATTGTTATAAAGTATCATTATAAACTGAATTCCGCTTAGAATCGTTTTTTCATATGGTTTATCGTTGCTTTTAAATATACATTAAATTTCTTTTTTTACCTCACCTTCTCTACATCTCACCAACAACAGTAACTGCACCCATCGTGTGAAGTAAATCAGTCTTATTTTAAGAACATTTTCATGATAAAATGAATTTTTAAAGACATATTTTAGCTTTTTTTTAGAGCATTTAAATTTGGCCCCAACTTATAATAAAAACAAATAAGATAAAAATTGATAAGAAATATGTACTAATCTTTATATAAGTTTTTTTTGTTATTTATCATGTAGGCATACCTACCTGCACATTTTTTGTTGATATTTTTACATTTCAGCTGTCGCTCAACGTATCGAGAATTCATTACAAATGATTTCTGGAAGAAATAAAAAAATAATATTTATTTGCACATTAAGATATTAATTTAAAAACTAGTTTTATATAATTATCTGGAATTAAGAAGAAATTTATGTACCCATAAGGTAAGTGTATTGAGGGCTGTATACGAATTGCTCTCCACGGCAAAAATTCCTTCCGAATTGCTACCCGGTTATTTTCTTTCTGGGTCATAAAAGTTGCGTCCCAAATTTGTTTTGTGTACATACTAGCCGCCTCTTGTGAATTCAAATGCTAAGCAATATTTCCAAACGGAATTGACATCCTTTAGAGTTATAGAAGACCAAACTGTTAAAATAGCTAAATGTATAGGATTTTTAAAATCGGCAAAAACACTTTTTAGAGAAAATATGACATTCGTTTTAATTTAAATTTAATTCAGACAAAATGTGTGAAAATTTCAATCGAAATTTGTATCTATCAATAAAAAACGAATAGAATTGTTTTTCACTGTACATGGTTTTCATTTCACTCGCTCTAAACAAAAATGTTCATTTAAAACTTAAAAGTAACTCGTGGAGATTAGCAAAACTGCGAAATGGATTGGAGTTATCGTCACCACTACAATGCGGCAATAAAATTGTGATTATACAATATCACTAAATCGATAATACTCGTGCAACAACTAATAATCACATAATATTGATAGACATTTTGGACATCGTAGGTGTTCGGTACGTTATTCGTATGTGTTCAAGAAAAACCCGGGACGCAATTTAGTAATGGTAGTTTTAGTATTAAGTACGCAGTAATTAGTACGCAGTGGTAATAAGTATCCTAATGAGTTTTTAAATCGAGTAATTTTTTAAAAAATACCATACTATGGATTTTCACGTATTGGATCCGGTAAAATGATGACATGCTAATTTAGAAATTTGATTAATTACATCAATTAATGCACTTGTTATAAAATTAAAAGAGGGAAATGTATCGGATAGCAAGGCGATGCGTTTCTTTTTTTAAGTTTGTTTTTTGAAATGTTACAGTCAGTTAAAAACGATAAATTAGTTTCATAATTTTGCTACATGACTTGTTTGTTGGACCGAGACAGCATATGCTTAAATGTAAATTATTATAGGAATATATTATTTTCCTTATTATCAATTCTGAACTCATAGGCCCCCTTACGAACCTATTCAGTAGGACCCATTATCTTTTCGAAGAAATAAACAATAATAATAAAAATAATAGCATCCTCTTAACGGGTTTTCCAGAACAATATTTTAAAAAACAATTCGCGAATAATTATTGCAAAAATGACAATGTTTTAAGCGTATATAATATAATTTATTGTTACAAAATACAGAATTATCTATATTATGTGTTTTATTAAATTTACCGTTTATAATTTTTTTTCGATTATTGTTTTTTTAAAATTTCAAAATAGGTAGGTAATACCTATGCTAACACTAGATAGATAAATAATATTGTTATTGTTTGTATTTATCTTTAAATTCTAAAATTATTTTAGGTAGGTACATACCTAGTTCATTTGCAGTGTCACCAAAATCTGTAAGTTGCTTACTTATTATATAGATAGGTAATACGTCATAATGATAATGTTGTAATGTAGTGTCCGGTAAATCTGCGAATACCGACAAATATTTCAATTGCGTGTTTGAATGCCGGTATAAAAATGAAAAATCACAATAATCTACAATAAAAAACGGTTTGATGTAATCATATTCCACTGTATAACTGTACACTTAAAAATATAATATAGTTACAATATTACACCACAGATAGTGAATTATTGAGGTAGATAAAAGTACTAATAAATTCCAGAAGAAATACATATAAAAATTTCGCCATCCTGATTGATATTTGTATTGTACGGTAGATTGATACGTATACATATGAAAGAGAACGCGCGCATTAATACAGGGACGTTCATCTGAGGGGGGGGGAGGGTGTAGGACCTTTTTATCTTCAATATTTACGACAAAAAACTTCCATAGTATGATATATTCACAGCATCACCTGAAGCAATTACTTGGATAGAATCATTGGACTTAGAACTTTAAATCCCAAACATTAATGAAGACAATTGTGTTATATTATTAACTGCCTACTTTGATTTATTGCACTCCTTTATCTTATTATTAAATGAAAATTTAAATCTAAATAATATTATTGTTGTTATTATTTATTTTTTTTTTTTTTGTCTTTTTATCAAAGTTATAATGCATCCATGTTGTAATATTAATTAATTTTAAATTATAAGTTATATGTTATACAAACTGTATAATCAATTTTATGAGCCATACGATAAATAAATATTAAATGTACGACAATATATAATATATATTCTATCACGGGCAGTCCCAGACGATTTTCTTGGAGGGGTGATCATCAAAGGTATATCATCGTGTAGCGGTTAATAATTTATTGCCATGCGAGTATTTAAACTACGAAACATAAAATAATCCGGTTATTATTAAAGAGAGATTTATTGTAACTATCAAAAATTAAAGTTTTCTGCGTCTATAAAATTGGCGCGCATAACAGATAATGTTTGGGAAAACAAATTTAAAGCATTAGGAGGGGGGCAAGTGCGCCCCGTCTTGCCACCACCTGGAAACGCCAGTGTGTTCTATATTACCTATGCATTAATTTAAAAAAAAAGAACAATACGAGCAATTATAATTGCTGAAAAATCGGTTTCGCCCTTCCTCTATCCCCCATATCACCCTGTTCCTCTCCGTATAATTACGCGGACTGGTGTAACGGTAAGTATTGGTTAATTAGTAGATGAGCTGCGAATAGAGAAAAAAAAAAACAAAATATGTGAATAAATATAAACAATATACAGACAAAGAAGAACCGGTACCGAGGTTTTGATATTTACGTAGGACGTACGGGCAATACCCGTACGAAATAACGCGTAACGTTTAACAACACAGAAATCCACTAAAAAAACTATACGATACGTTTAGAATACCGTACCATGCCGAATAATAAAGCGTTTTAACAATCGCGCGCTGATGTTGTACGGTTATTATCGCGGCGCTGTTAAACAAAGAAAAATTAAATCGGTCCGAAGGCCGAAGGAATGTAACGTGATCGATCTTATCCGAACGCATCGCAATGCATAATAATACTATTGCAATTAGCATAATATCTGAATTTCGGTACCGTGGACCGTGTCTTTATTTCCAAACACGCGCGGCGAAGCCTCGCGTATAATACCGGACGATCGTTATTGGCTTAGGTATAAATACATAGTCCAGGCACAATACATACATGCGCAATTATTGTGATTCAACTGAAAGCTAAGACTTTTCGGTTTGCGAATTTTAAACAGATGTACGGACGTTATGTGGTCGCGCCTGTGGCGTGTGCGCAGAAGCTTAAGAATAAAACATTTTACCAGCCGTCAAGGGGTTTGAAAATTAGTTTTCGCCTTTTATGGACCATTTTAACGATACGGCCATTCCGCCTAATTCCTCCGCCCGACACCCGTTTAAAGCGAAGGGGTACCGGCCGTTTGGCCGGAAGGATGTGACGTTTGAGACCGACACAGTGAAATTCACCCGCAACCGCTGGCCCAATTTTAATTCGGAAACATATTTGAACTCCGATATGATTTTCCCACTGTTTTTTGTAGGAAAAATTTGTTCTTTATTTTTTTTTCATTATTATTCAGATTATTTAGTTAGAGTGCACGATGTGTTTACATTATTTTTTTCTAAAAACAAACTTTAAATTGTTGTACATAAAAAAAAAAAAAAAAAAAAAATATGAAAATGAAAATATTAATTGTTTTATGAAATATTAAAAAGAAATGTACAAAGTGAAATTAATTTTTTAACACGGAAATTAGACTAATGGAAATGTGTAATTTTTTTTACACGTTTACCAGTCTAAATGTATAAAAACGATTGTTTACTTTCAACCACTAAAACAAAATAATTGTTCATGGTTTACGCTTCAGTTACTGCTTACCTTTTACCAGCTGTATCACTAAATATGTAATGCGTAGTATGCAAGTGTATGTATAATTTTTCCAACTATAAAGCTAGCTGATATTTTATTTGTTATTCTTTATCAATTTTTACAGCCTAGCGTCCCCCTCCCTAATTCTCCCTATTAACCATCTATAATTTAGTATTTTAATTCACAATAAATACACACACTTAATATTTCAAATATAAATTATTAACACGGAATTATTTCACGTGAATCAACTATTTAACTAGGTATGTGTACTGTAATATTACTTAAAGGTAAATAAGTACACGGGTAAAATATGTTCGGCAAAGGTTGTTCAATGCGAAGATTACCCGGCCAATATTCCAAACTGTCCACATTAATCTTCGATTGTAAGTGGAAATATAAATTTCGTAAATATTACAAACGATGTTTCTTTTTTATTTTATTTGGAAAGATAAATCATAACAATATGCCCGTTGAAATGCATACAAAATTCGGATATCACGCTATAATGAATCAAATTCCTATTTATTTTTTATTTTTTTTTTTTGGTTTCTTTAAATTTAGATAACGATATGGTTTTTGTATAATACGAGCAAGCAATGATTAGAGATACGAAACAAATATTACATTTAAAACAATTATCTTATGTTATGTAAGTGTGTCGCTTATACTGTTAGTGGAATTAGATTTGTATGAATATACCTACTGCAGCGAACATTTTAGAATGAATAAAAAAAATATTTTCGATAAGTATACGTAATAATTTTAAACTATTCGTCGGAGTATTCGTATACAAAATGTCATTGAATGGTAATCAGTTGAAAAAAAAAAAAAGCGAATACCTACGTACAATTTGATACAGTTATACTTAATGTTACCGTTTAGGGGTCAGGTGCCGATTTTCCAAATTTATTTTATTTTAGGAAATTTAAAAATTATTTTTAACATTTTAACGATCACTGATGACGATGACTTTTCCACTGGTCCACAGCCCGATAAATATATTTAGAGGGAATGGATACGTGCGGTTTTTATATACTCGAATATGACATCAGATTATTTGATTTCGAATAATAGGGGCGGGGGGAGGAAAGAAACTAAAATAGACGTTTTTTTTTAATCATAATATTATAATGTTTGAGATTGAAATATTTTAAACCGAAGTTCAATGAGTTCTATTGGAAAAAATACAAAATAATCACCAAAATGTGATCACCAAAATGTGATCATTCTACGGACACATGAGAGTGTTGGGCCTAGGCCAAATAGGCGAAACAAATAACCGCAAATGTAAAATAATCGTTCGTGCATAATAGCGAAACTTGTATATAAATTATAAATTGCAATAGTGATGATAGTGAGAACTTTGTAAAAGGTGTAGCACGTATAATTTGTCACTAAATACCTAATTGTTTTTTTTTTTTTTTAAACTTTTATTATCAATGAATACCTACCCAAATTATTAATATCTAAATGCCTAAACGAACTCAACGGCTTGATGATTATAATGACCGTGTTCATAAATTTTCGCTATTACGTATTTTCGATCTTTTTTTAAAATCCGCTGTTTTTTATATTCGCCGTTATTTTTTCGATATTTTGGCCGGAGTTTTTCTCCGTAAGGCGTGTTTTCGAACCGGACCCGGTCCGTGATTTGTGAAAATATAAGTACGATAAGTATGATACAACCGCAACGTATGGGAAAATTATACCCACCTACTTGAATACCCATTAAGGTCAGTGAAGTGGAATGAAATGAAACAAGTCACGTTTTTTTAAATTTTTATTTTCTTTTTAATCTGCGCAAATACCTACACATCCGTGCCTAACAATGTGCACAGTGTCGGTTTCGGTATGGAACGGACGCATTTCGGTAAATACGTGACCATAGCGTTGATCAGCTCGACGATCAGTCGCCTCGGCACGGCCTTGAGCAAAATCGGATCCGACGCTATCGTGACCAGCAGACTCTGCAGATAGCACGCGTTCACGGCCACCAATATGTTGGGCGAAGACGCTACGGCCGACAGCAACGATACGACGTTCGCTGTGGGCAGGGCGGCCAACAGGGACGGCGAAGACCAAAATATGGCGAGCAGGGTGTCGAACGTTTTCAGGGGCAGGACGTTCAGGATTTGGGGCGTGAGCAGCACGGCGAACAGTTTGACGACCGCGGCGACCGTCGAACCGTTCAGCAAGTACAGCGACGACTCGGAAACGGTTTCGAAAAGCCCGCGGAGGAGAGCGAAAAGCGTGGTCGGCGGCAACACGCCGAGCACGGTGGGTTTCAAGCCCAGGAAATCGACGAGCGCGACAAAGGCGACGACCGGCAAGCCTTTGACCAGGGGGACGGACAGGGACAGCAGCGTCAGAAGATTGACGAGCTGGGGCACGGTGAGCGAGCCGAGCACGTCCGGCGTGCACGCCGAGCCCAAGAACTTTTCCAGCACGGAAGCGGGCACGTCGTATAGCACGCCTGGCGACAGCGACAGCAGACCGGCCGCTAACTGTACCAGAAGAGCCGTGGGCAGGGAGCTCAGCAAATTCGGTCTGACGGTGAAAACCATCAACAGCGCGTACAGCCTGTGCTTGGGCAGCGCGGCCAAAATTTCCCGCGATGAACACAGTGCGGACAGCACGTTTACGAGGGCCGACACGGGCAGAACGGTCAATAGACCCGGCGACGACGTCAGCACGGATATGATGGAGTGGATTTGGGCTGTCGAAAGGGTGGCCAAGAGTTTGGGCGAATGCAGTAGACCGATCAATTGGTCGTATGACCCGACAACGGACGACAGTTCGTTGGGGACGACTAAACCCTATGCAATTGTACACAAAATTAAATGTATACCGGCCGTTATAACATCGTCCTTGCCAAAACCGCATATCGTATCATTTAATAAATGATTTTTTTTTCCAGGAGCAGACGCCAAATACTAACTATGAAATTAAATTTAGCCGTTTCTAACGCTGCATAATTCCTATTCGTCGTTTTCTTTTCACCGCCTCATTTTGCATTCCACTCATTTACTCATTGCACTCACTTGTACAGATTGTGCATTTACGTTAAATAAACGATTAAAAAATTGAATTTCGGCGCCTAAATGGTTCAACCCCATATTTATTTACGGAATTATGATTTGAAAAACTATTTTCCATAAAATCGTCAATCAACTCCATTAACAATTATACCGAGGTAATTCTCGACGACAATATCGATACTGGATACACGTGATATAGTGTTTCAACGATTATGGTCTCGTTGGATTTTGTGCATTTTACCTAACCTAACTGCGTCACTAAAAAAAAGTGCAAAACGCAGCTAATGTAGCGGTACAATTTCTCATAATTTTAATCATATCAACTTGGCGTGTCGTCACTCTTGCCGTACGATTAATTGCGATTTTATTTTAATACGTTCATCCACCTCTGGAAAGCGAAATTTAAATCTTACGTATGCGGATCTGAAATGTTGAAGAAAATGTCTACATTTCAACACTTCTCAAAAAAGTTAAATCCTTACTCATTCGAAAGAAAATAGTTCTGATGTGAACGTTGAATACAGTGACGAGATTCAATTAACTATGCGACTGAATTGTCTGAATCAGAAACCGCAGATAAATGATTATTTTAACATTATTAAATTGGTTTGTTTTTTTTTTTTTTTATTAACAGCGTCCTTTGGTCGATAAAACAAACGGCGAAATGGGTTTTATGGTAAAATTGTGATGGCGATTCGATCAGTTTTTATAAAATACCTTACACTATAATATCGGTTTTAGAATATTATAAAAGTTTGGAAACAAATTATGAAATTTCGTTAATGACATTTCAAGAAAAAATTCCAAAATAAATTTCACTGAAACTTATTGTTAGTTCGTGATAAACGAATCTCAATCGGTCTGTTTTTGAATTTTGATTTACCATAGTAACAAGGATGAAATGAAAAAAAAAAACCAAAAAAACCTGTTCGCTGTACCCACTGAGTGGGCGGGTAAGTATGTAGTGAAAACACGTAAAACGTCATATCCGAATATTTGTTTTATTTTGGTACAGTAATAACAATACAGTACTTTTATGTCCCCATAATTTCCGGGTTAACATAGCAGACACGTAGTTTTGTCCCTATTGCGATTTTATCGTTTTAACGTTAGGTATAATACTTACGGATATTGGACATAGCGTTTTGGATAGGCAATCGCTGGACACGGCTTCAATTTTTTCTTTATAATTGTTTTCCTATGTACACGCAATGAAAATATCAACATATTAATTTGATAAAACAGCCGCGTGGACTAAATACCAAATATATAATACAGAGTGATCATTTTATCACGAACCAGCGATTGTCCCGTAGGATTTCAAGTGAATTTTATTTCTGTTGTTTTCAATCCATCATGTAGGAATCTTTTGAGATTTATTTTAAAACTATTTTTAATTTTCCACCCGTACTCCATATTATACTTTAAATAATTATTCGAATGATTTTTTTACAATTATTCTACTTATTTTTTATTCGATTAGTTTTCAAACATTACTACTGGAATAATTGTCGTTTATTTTATTTGTTTAAATGTTGTTTGGTAATTTAAAATACGTAAATATTAAAAACAATAGTTGGCTTTGTACTATAAAATATATCTTCTTTGGCCTCCAGCATTATTTTCGTATAGAGCACAATATTATGAAAATCATTCGAATAATTATGAAAAATTCATCCGAATACTATATTATTTAAACATAATTATCTAAATAAATTTGTGCTTAAACAATGCTCAACTCTGTACATACTTATCGAAGGTGCTTAGAGTGGGGGTAAAAAAATTAAAAACGGTTTAAAAATAAAAGCTCAGACGATTCCATAACGATCGAAAAAAACATAAATCAAATCCGTTTAAAATCCTCTGAGAAAATTGCTGGTTCGTGGTAAAATTCAGCGTTATAGTGCATAACACGCCTGTTAGTTGTACGTTCTTAAAATAATAATAATTTTATTTGGTACGATTTCTATACACCGTATTATTTTATGTTAGGCTGGATTTTTTACAGCCAGTAAAAAAACTATTTGAATAATTTGTGTGTTTTTTTTTTTTTTTTTTTTGAAACAGTTCAGCGTCATCTAAATGTTATATTACAATAATTTTAAATTTGAAATAATTATTCAAGAAGTACTCACAAGAATTGAAATCGGCAAAGGTTTTTCGGTCATTTCAACGTTGAGGCCAATTTTATCGTCCGCGTTTGTCTAAATAAATACAAATGTAAAAAAAAAAAATATTATGTCCGTACGTCTCGGTCAATTTTCACATTGTTGAAAATAAATCGTACAAAAAACGCATCTAAAATGTACAAGCTAATATACAATATTATATTATCAGAGTATTTTATACATTATTTTGATCGTAAACAATAAACAGATAATTCATTACAATTTTATAAAAACTGATACTGTTCGCGGTTAGGCCAATGTACGTGATTTGTAGCAGGTGGTGATTTATTTTACATACTGAAACATGCAACGATAAATGATTGCGAACGAAAAACGTGATTTATTTCCCTTGTCGCAGTCAAGGTAATCCCGATATTAACAAAAATCAATCTACAAAATAGGCGGGTAGTCAGGATGGTGGGATACATAAAGTTGTATTTATTTTATATCCAATGTAAAATAATGTTAGGCCAATGTACGTGATTCGTACATTGGCAGGTGGTAATTTAGTTCATATACTTCGGTATATGCAACGATAAACCCGAATGCTAACGGGATACGTATTCTGAGCGAAGTTCGGATGTACGTGTTTTGATACAGACGGTTTTCGTCAAAATTCGATCTTGAAACATTTACAACAAAACGGCTACCACTAAAATTCAGGGTAATTTACATATGGACTGCTTTCGCACATTCCCGGACGATCGATGGCCGAAACAGGAACTTCCTACGACGGTCGGAGGGTCTCGGAAAGACGTTTCTATCTAACCTTCCCGGAAGTTGTCCGGTGTGCGTTTGACATTACGTTTTATAATTTGATACGATATTATGATATAGTTGCAATATTAAATCGTGTAAAAATTTACCGCGGTAGACTGTGCGTCCGCGACGGGATCCAAAATGTCGTCGGTTTTATCGATTTCGTCCGTACCGTAAACTCCCTGCGGGAAATTAAAGGAGCGTTAAAAAAAAAAAAAAAACAAAAACAAAACAAACGAAGCAAATTAAGTGCATAAATACGGTCGTAGAATAATGACAAAAAAAAGTGAAAAAAAAAAAAATTAATTTAACAATCTCTCTCTTACGGGGTATGCGAAAAACCACAATAGAGTGCACGCGGCGATTTTTTTCGGTTCCATCGCGATTAACATGTTAACATTGAATATCCGACGACTGCGTCAATATATTGTTCAATTGGACCGGCTATTGCAGTGGTTGGCCACGAGGACGTCGCGATGCGATCAGCGCGAGTGTATAAATGTTATGTTTATTGACAAATCGAACAATGTTCACGGTGATAAGAAAAAAATTATAATAATAACATCGAGATGTACGATAATAATCGTACAGTATTGCGACTGGAGACGCCCCCAGTAAGGCCGCGGCGGCATTTTTAATAACACGCGGATCTTTTGGACGAGTATAATATTATTATGCGGTCGGGGGGGTATCGCGTGTTTTTTTTTTTTTTTTTTTTCTCCGTTTAAATGTCGCGAATCGAGTCGAGTAACAGAACACAATATCGAAACACTTATCAGTTTTTTGAACGGATATTATAATATTAGAGCACGTTCTGGACTATAAATAATTTCGTAAGAATTCTTTTCGTTTTGGTTATCAGTCGTGCCGGGCGCGGCTCAGACGTCACGTGTACAGTTCGTAACGCTACAGGTATATGGTTATAAAATGTCGAAGACTCCGAATTAATTTTAGTAAAGAAAATTACAGAGTGATTCAATTGCCTGCACTTTCAATTGTAATGTCTCAAACGAGTGTACGCTTTTGATTTTCAAACAGCAACGCCCAACCACCGATTTAAACAAAGATTGTAACAGAGAATATTTTTCTTTTTAACCTTTGTCTTGTTTTTTATACGCGTAACGCTCACATTGGATTTACCGTATACGAGTTGTAACGATTTTACATAATAAAATAGAATTCAAATACAGAAATCACAAATTCACAGAAAATCTTTCTATGTATGTCTATACAGGGTGATTCGTTTTGCTTTTCCGTAAGAAAACCTCGTTATCCTCGGAGTGTCTCGAGGTATATTATTATTGGATTTTGCAGTATATGCAAATATAAACACAAAAGTGTACGCGCACACACGTTTAGATTATCTGTATTAGCCTATCTCGGAACTCACTCTCAAGAATATGTGTCACCGTAATATTTTGGCCAGAACAAACCAATTAACGTACCGAGTATAGTCTGTAACTTAGAGCTAAGCTGATTCCCGATTCGTTTAGTCCAAATTTAGAGACATTTTTTAGTTATAGTCCCGGCTGTGTCGGTGACCGTCTCTGGATACGATTTTAAGGAGAGTACGATATTTATTGTAATATAAACGCCGAGCGGCAATTACAAAAACAAAAGCTTGAATAATTGTGAAACAGTACTAAATACAAGAGATTATACCGATAGTTAATAGTAAAAAAGTAAAATATTATAGGTCTCTATAATATAGAGACTATATTATATCCCACGCAAGAACTTTATAGTAGACTCTGCGAGTCTAACTTGGAACACTTGTAAAATGAAAAAGTAACGTTTTCGATTTAACCGACGCACAGAAACTATTGAAACAGACTTTACTAAAAACCTAAAGAACGCCGCGTTTTTCTTATACCGCCCCGTTTTTTTTTTCCGCATCCATTTGCAATGTCATTAACTCGATCTACTTATTAAATGCTACCTATACACTGTTTCATATTATTATTATTACTACTACTTTATGCTTACTAACGCTATTACTGTTGCATAACAGTTTTTTGACACTTCTCGCGGTGCAAAGCTTTTTTTCTATTCAGCTAACTAGACCACTAATTTTGGGGGCGTTGTATAAAAACGTATCATAACTTTTAGATTCTGAGTGGAGTGAAGAAGCTTTTTGTTTTATTTCTTTTTATCTATGAACAATTTTTCTACCGGAAATATTACCCTGATTTACAAGTGTAGCAGTTTTTCCTAGAGAAAATCAAACAGGGGAAAACAGAGAGGAGTTTTCCCAATAAATGAGAAAAACACGGGGAAACCGGGAAAAACGTAGTAAAATAGGTATAATATTAAACAAATATTATTAAAGAAATTATACAAGGCCATGTACTTATTTTATACAGATTATTGTTGTAATCTGTACCTAGTTGGGTTTTGTTAGAGACGAAAATCTTCGTGTATTATATACAATAACGCGCATCTCAGTGTTATCGCGGTCTCAATTCTATGGTAATCGTTATACGAAAAAAAAAAAATTGTGTCGGCCCGTTTTGTAACTAGACTTGGATCTAAAAGTTCCGAATACCAATATTTCTAAATTTCTAATGCATATTATGTATGTATTATTATATAAAAGCTAAAGGCAATATTACACAACCGTAACACTGTATTTTCATTCGCTTAAATTCGTATTGATTGTCACAAAAATTTGCCAGCCGTTCCTACGATAAAATATTTGGTGAATTACGCGTCATATTGGTATTACCGCAGCGTCGTCGGTCGTTGGACTACGGAAAAAAAAAAAAGAGAGAAAAAAAAGGGAGGAAGATAATAATTCCGACGGCCTGTCGACCGTATATATTTCTATTACATTTATCTTGCGGCAAAACTATGCGACTATTAAACCTCGAATATATACATACGTACGTTATGTAAACGGTATAAAAGTGAAAGAAAATTCAGTTGACAAATGTATTCTATATAGCCGCAGCGGCCGTAGCAGTTTAAATTTTAAATTTTAGTCTCAATTAGATTGTTTTTTTTTTTTCAGTCTTTCAATACTTACGATACGCTCTGTCGGCCATATTGTTTCGCATATGAATAAGTACACGAGCATTTTTCGTATAATTGTTTTTTTTTTTTCGTATTAGTTCGTTTTTAAATCTTAGTTCCTATTATATTTTTTTTTTTTTTTCGAAAATTCTAAAAAAAAAAAAACACTGTCCTAAATGAACGCGGATAGGTACGTTTTATTGTTCGCGTAACCAAAGGGCACGCGCGCCCCTATTATAAATTATTATATATTAAAACGCAATAGATTGTTTTAAATTTAGATAAAAACAAAAATTCAAACCGTACGAAAATGAAATACTGGACGACGATATTGTGCGTGACGTTCGTCCTGATCAAATTAAACGTAAGTCCAGCATTACGACCGTTCGTTTTTCTTTGACACCAATATTCGCCCCCTCCCCCCATATATATTCCTCCGTCTCCCCTTTGTTGTGCGTTTTGTGTATACGTATTATTGGGATTCCGTTACACTAACCGTTGATTGATTTTTCGTTTTACAGGGGATAAACGGCCATTTTTCGTACCAGACGTACGCCGATAATAGTTACGGCCATAACGTGCATCATCTCGGAAAACATAACGGCGCAAGTCCGTTATTCGTCAAGACCATCGTTAACCTTTTGAGATTCTTGTCCGCTCATCCAAAGCTCGTGCAAAAATCCCATCCATCGGTCATCATTCAAATACTGACTCATTTGTCATCGAAGCCGGCCTTGTTGGCTGCTGTGCCCCAAACAGATTTAGAGAATTTTATGTCCTTGGTGTTCGGGACGCCGAATCTGGTAAACAACATACCGGAATCACTGCTTATTTCGCTGATCAGTTCGGCGACCATAACGTCACCCGGTCTGTTCGGGCTGCCTGCGAATCAACAACCGATAAGCGATTTCAGCCCGTATTATACTTACGTTGGCGGCGATTTTCAAACCAATCCGCAAGCGGATCAAATTACATTCGTACCGCTACCGCCTACCGCATATCCGCGACATCCGCAAACGCCGGTTGTACCGTGCCCACCGAAAACGTCCGCCGTACCGGGCGTTTCCGTCGTTAAAGAAGTGGGAGTTTCGGTGATTCCCCAGCCTGGATCAATCGGCGGCGTTCAGGCGGTGGCCGATGTGGCCGCCGGGGTCTCTTTGCCGACCGCCGGTGGAGTTCCGCAGCCGCCACAAACGCCCGCGGTACCGGGCGTTTCCGTCGTTAAAGAAGTGGGAGTTTCAGTGATTCCCCAGGCTGGATCGGTTGGCGGCGTCCAAGCGGTGGCCGATGTGGCCGCCGGGGTCTCTTTGCCGACCGCCGGAGGAGTTCCACAACCGCCACAAACGCCCGCGGTACCGGGCGTTTCTGTCGTCGAAGAAGTGGGAGTTTCATTGAATCCCCAGCAAGGATCGGTTGGCGGCGTCCAAGCGGTCGCCGATGTAGCCGCCGGTGTGTCTTTCCCACAAACGCCCGCGGCGCCGTGCGTCCCACAAACGCCCGCGGCGCCGTGCGTCCCACATACGCCCGAGGCGCCGTACGTCCCGCAGCCACCCGCAGTGCCGTACGTCCCGCAGCCACCCACGGTGCCGTACGTCCCGCAGCCACCCGCAGTGCCGTACGTCCCGCAGCCACCCGCGCCGCCGTGCGTCCCACAATCGTCCGGACCCGCCACGACCGGAACAGGGACTGTAGCGGGCGTAGATATTCCGAACGCCATAAAAACGAACGGGATAAAATTGTTGTTAGACGCCATATCCCAGGGAAAACCGATCATCCCGTTAACAACGGTGCACGAAAAACTCACGCCCATCATAAAGAAATTCCAGACCACGGGAACGGCGTTACACCAACATAAACAATTACTGCACGAAAAACTAACCGATTTATTGAACAAGCATCACTCCGCGCTGCCCGGTAAACATCCGTATTGACCGTGTTCAGTTTTATGTCGTAAACGTTCTTAATTTATTGTTTTTATTTATTTTTTTTTTTTTTTCTAAACTCGTCCGAAATGTTACGCGTTCAAGCGTGTACGCGACTAGATTATAATGTTGTGTGTACTTTAAACATGCCTAACCAGTGGCGTATTCGGGGGGGGG